GTGGGTGGGTGGATGAATTAGAGAATGAATGGATGCGTGTGGTTGAGCTCTGTGGTGTGCCATAGACACCAGCCTGCACCTGAGGACTTGCTATGCTCCTGTCTTCTCTGCGCCTGCTGTGGGCCCTGAACCAGGCCGTCCTGGGTGGTGGCTCTCAGCATGAGCCCTTAGGTCCCCAGGGTCTGCCTGCAGCTTACCGTGCGGTGCTGTCAGACCACGGCCATGAGGACATTTGGCAGTACCCTCCACCCCACGCCCCGCTGGTAAGATGACCCCTTTGTTTTTGCGCTAAACATACAAAGTACAGGCCAGATTTGAGTTTGATGGTGAACCTAACAATTGTAAGAGAAGTGACTTTGAGTCATAGAGTAAGAGTGGCCTCCGGCTGCTCTTAGACATGACGTCCTGTGTTTGTTACTCGTGTTCGGTTTGGTTTATGGGCCGGGAATGTTGGGACGTGGCATCCAGCAGGTGTTCCTAATTTCCCCTTAGACTTACTTCTCAGGGCACCTGGCAGCTGGGCTGGTGACGCATCCATTTCTCATTGTAATCTGGGGACTAAACTAAGGTCCGCTCAGCTGCACTGGATGTATACCCCCCCGGCCCCACGGCTGGTTTCCACGGCCCCAGCCTGGGTTAGGCCGCCCCTGGCGAACGCCGCTGTGCAGACCCGGACTTCAGAACCCCAAGCTCCGTGTTTGTAATGGAAGCTGGAAACTCTAGGCCTGCACAGAGGCTGGAGCAGGAGACGAAAGACAAGTGGTTATTACTGGTCTTCTTACCAGCAATAACAGTGCATTACTCATACATGACGTTAGGGACAGTGTAAAACGTTACGGCATTTCTCGTTGGGTTTGTTCCATCTACCAGCACAGTCACTGGACGGAGTTGTCATCTTGTCTCACCATTTCAGGCACCTTGTGCTCCTAAATGCGACAGATGGAAGTAGTTTCTTATTGAAAGAGGTGACCTAACAGTCTGGGTCTCTACTGCTTCCCACGTTTTCCCAACGGACGAATGCCCTTAAAACACGCTGTCGGCCGTGGTCTCTTTGTGCTGACGCCCTGGGCACCCACTAACGCTGTGGCCGTGTTTGTCCCTCTGGTATATTTGCAGGCCGTCCTGTAATTAGTGTACCTTGAACTGAGAGGAATGATGACTTTCTAAATATTTCTCATAGGTCTCTGACTCGCGTACAGCAGGTACTCAGTAATACCATTCGTTGAATTCATCAGTTGGGAAATGTTCCTGGGCTTGTTCTGCTGGGGCACCAACACCCACAGGCACTTAGGTTCCTTTTATTCCGACCTGTCCCCCCTCCCCTGGCTCGGGTGGTAGTCGAATCCTTCATTTGGCTTCCTCAGCTTTCTGCTCCATGATCCTTGTATTTCCGTCGCGTTGGACCCACGTGTACTCTCAGGAGCGTGACCTTGGGCACATCATGGAGTCGCTTTGTGTCTTGGTTTCCGTGTTGATAAGATGAGAGTGACAGCAGCTCCTACCTCGTGGGACTGTCGTGGGCGATCAGTGGGTGCGTGTGAGACACTCAGCACAGCCAGTGTTTATGTCAAAGCCACCCTCGGGCGGTTGGAACCGCCGGTTGGCTGCGGGCACACAAGTTGGGCCGCCTCGGCGACGGCATCCTGTGAGCGTTGATGGCGCTCTGTGGAATCGACAGTGACATGTTCCGCACATTCTCATTAGAGGAACGCCCTGTGCGACCCACCCTGCATGTTGGCGACGTTGTGACGGTCTCACGCGTGGGTGCACATGCTCACATCTCTCTCTGGCTTTGCGCATTGACGACCAGGTAACACTGTCTTGACGTTTGCTCCTCAAGCTTATGGATTGTTGTCTAGCATATGGACAATGTCTGCATGTCGCCTGCAGCAGATGCTGCTGGTGTCCTACCCAGACCTCCTTTCCTGGGCCAGTGCGTCCGTCTCCCAGCTGCTGTGGGCCTTGGCTGCTGCTGACTCCCACCTGTACCCTCCCCAGGGGCCTGCCCTTGGCTGACAGGAACTGCCTCCACCAGACACGTTTGGGAGATTATGACATCATGCCCACCCTCCTGCTCCCCGAGTGGCTCCTGGCCAGCGCCCGTGAAGGGGTGTAACAGCCCACCCCCCTTGCCTTTGGACCGGACGGCTTCTCTAGCTCAGCCCCCACCTCGAGCGGCTCACGGGGTCCAGCTGAGGCTGGGTTTCTGAAGCCACGTCTTTGCTTAGCGCCTCCTCCCGTTCCAGCTGATTCTGCCGCCCTGGTTCCTCCTGACAGCACTGTCTGTAATCCGAGGTACAGTAATGCCGTCGCAAGGGCTGCCTTAGGGGACCTGGCCTCAGGGATCGGCCCTCTCGGTGCCGCCGTTGTTTCCTCGGTTCCCCCATCACCTGTGCAGCTAAGTTCCTCTGTAAACAGTCCATGGCTTGCGTTCCCTCTTTCCTTTGTTTCTGGTTTAATTGGTTTTCTCGGTGGGACCTGCCTGGTAGGCATCTGCCCTGCTCATGTCGGCACAGTTAAGGCTACTCCCCGGCCAATGCCCTCGATCTTCCCATGCGCCCGTTTATTTCTGGAGAGTGCGCTGATGGATGCCGCGGGTCTTATGACCTGGCATTTAGTCTCAAAGCCGGAGTCAGCGACGCCTCCCTCGTAGGGCTGCTCTACGAGTTATATGAGCCGTTCTTTTGAAAGCAGGTAGGGCTGTGCCTGGAATGTAGGAAGAGCTTGTCCATTGACGCTGCTCATTTGAGAGACTTACTACCGTGGATAAGATGCTGCTCTCTGCTCCCAGAGCACCCAGTGGGGGGACCTCTGACCCTGTACTTTATTATGTGGTCTTGCAATCTGTGGTTTTCTTTTCTACTTTTCCCAGAAAAACTTGAGCTGCTCAGTGTCACCCGGTGGTGTGTTGGCCCGTCAGGGGCAGAAAGGCCTGATATATAGCATTTACTGTTACTCCTAGTGAACATAGCCTACCCTGTCCAGCACAGGCTTCCAACACGATGCCCCTGGACACGGAGTTGGGAGGGTACCCTGGGCGCGCCCCACCCCACGCCGCGCCCCTAATCCTCAGCACAGTGTATCTAACCGGGAACCTTCCTGGTCAATAGATGGTTCAGATGTTGTTATTAAGTGGTTACAACGTGATCACGTGCACTAAATTGGTGAAATCCCTCGATACCCGATTTTTGTTATTAAAGTAATTTACTTATTTACTTATTGATTTATTTTTAAATCCTCACCAAAGGTTATTTTTCCCATCGCTTTTCAGAGAGTGTGGAAGGGGAGAGAGAGAGAGAAACATCGATGCGAGAGAGACACGTCGATTGGTCGCCTCCCACACAAGCCCGACCGGCCGAGCCTGCAGCCGATGCATGTGCCCTTGGCCAGAATCAAGCCTGGGCCCCTTCAGCCTGCAGGCCGATGCTCTAACCACTGAGCCGAACCGGCCAGGGCGGGTTTTGTTGTTATAAGCAGCAAATCCCTCACCCCACCCCCAGACAAATAAATTGCAAACCTCTGGTTTGTGATTTACTAGACACATGAATGGCGGTCGGTAAGCTCATCTCTCCCGGCCTCAGTTTCTCCAGAGAGCTGGACCGGGTCGCCCCCAGCGCTCCCTCTGGTCCCAGAGTCCATGAAGCCCAATCAGTGCGTAACTTCATGTCCTGCCCCCGCACGTTGAGTGACGCCCTGTGTGGATACCGGAAATGCAAAGAGGCCTCGGCTGCGGCCCTGCTGACGAGAGCCTGCCGTGGAACCTGTGGGGACCGTGAGTGTGGTCAGTGCCTGGCGGGGTCATGCCACTGTCCCAAAGGCCAGGCTTCTAGTTTATCACGGACGCCAGCACTTCGACACGCCCGGGTGTTGTGCTTGTCTTTCCGACTTTCTAAGATCACACACGGCTGTCCCAGTCCTCGGTCAGTTTGTCCTGAGGCAGCCTTGACCGGCGTGCAGAGTCGTTCACTGGGGCTCTTCAGCAAGATCTGAAAACGCCCTCTCGACTGTACGTCTGAGAAGCGCCCTGGCTCTTTCTCACCTGTTTTGATTGGAAAGGCACAGGGAGTGACCCTTCCACTTGGGTGTCGTCTCCCAAGGTCGTGTCCACCTCCTGGCTCGAATGTCTTCTCTGTCCCATCAACCGCGGTCCCGCAGTCAGTTTTCAAAAGCGACGCTGGCTCCCAGCCGCGGAGGCCGTTTTAAACCGCGTGTGTTCTGTCTCGCCAGGGGCCGACCACATCCGGAAGTACTGGAGCCGCTACTACCAGGGCTCCCAGGGGGTGATCTTCGTGCTCGACAGCGCGTCTTCCGAGGGCGAGCTGGAGACGGCGAGGAACGAGCTGCACTCGGCGCTGCAGCACCCGCAGCTCTGCACGCTGCCCTTCCTGATCCTCGCCAACCACCAGGACAAGCCGGCCGCCCGCTCGGCCCAGGAGGTATGTCGCGTCGGGGCGGGCTGGCTCGGCCTGTCTCGGGGTCGCACGCTCGGGGCCGATGCCCGTCACCGGGGTACGCGGGGGACGCCGCCTCCGACGTGAGATGTGGCTTTCTCGCGAAGCCCGCGTCGATCTGACAGGAACTGCTGTTCACGGGCCTCATTCCGCTCGGGGGGCGCAGACTCATTTCCTAACCGTCCAGAGGACCGGTCGGGATGCTCTCCTCATATTTTAAAGGCCGGTGGCCTGGCGCTTTCCCGTTTCTCCCCCCTGCCGCTCAGGTGGGGCGCTCTCCCCTCCCAGGGAGGCGGCGTACTCCACGCATCCCGCACCCCCGCGCCACGCCTTGTCCCGAGACGCTCGCTGCTGACCACGCAGGGGGCCCTGCATCGGCCAGGCCGAGACGCGGGCCTGGTCTCGCGGGTTCAGGGCCGGCGAAGGCGTTTTACTCCAGACCCGTCTCATCTCCTTGTCCACTTTCTTCCTTGGCCTCGGTCGCCGCCCTGACAGCAGCAGTGGATCCGGGCAGACTCAGCGCCTCGCCCAGCAGGGCTGCTCCGTGGGACCCCGGTAACAAGACGTGCAGATAGTTTTCAGAATTAAATTTCAGTGAATCCCGCTCTGTGCACAGTGGAAGGAAACTGCCTGATGGGTTCCTCTCCCCATAGCTTTCAGGATGTGTCCCCTCCTCCGGAAAATCGGGTGTTTCCTCAATGACCTCGAACGAGAGGGCTGGAGGGGTGACCCGGCGCTTTAGTTTGGAAAGTGGCTGAGCAGACGAGGACCTGACGTGTCCTGAGCGGCGCCCCCAGGCCCTGTCCCGAGCCTGTAAATGGGAGGGAACAGTGTTGTTTTTACTGTGAGTCGGATTAATACGGATTATTTGCTTTGAAGTTTAGTTCATGATTACAAGGTGCTTTGCTGGAAATGTTAGGATGAGTTCGCGTGGGAAACGCTGTGCATTATACACATAACACTTCGTACAGATACTCTCCGTGACGCGTATGTGATGAAACACGACCTGAAATACTAGATGTAGTGCAAGTGGCCATGTAACCTCAAATCACTCCATTCAGGTTACGCGCAATCGCTGAAAATATTTTTTTCTTTTTTGATTTTAAATATAAGAAACTGTTTCCCTGTTCCCGAGACACCGCAGAATTGAAACTGGCATGTCCCTTGCACCCAGCGTAGGCCTCGCGCTGGTCCTCGTAGGAAGAAAGGCTGCGGCGCTGAGTGGAGGAGGCTCCTTTGCGTCAGCGGATGGTTTCGGGGTGCATGCTGAGTGTCGGCTGGTTTCGGGGTGCGCGCTGGGTGTTGGCTGGTTTCGGGGTGCGTGCTGAGTGTCGGATGGTTTCAGGGTGCGCGCTGAGTGTCGGATGGTTTCGGGGTGCGCGCTGAGTGTCGGCTGGTTTCGGGGTGCGCGCTGAGTGTCGGATGGTTTCGGGGTGCGCGCTGAGTGTCGGATGGTTTCGGGGTGCGCGCTGAGTGCCGGCTGGTTTCGGGGTGCGCGCTGAGTGTCGGATGGTTTCGGGGTGCGCGTGGGTGTCGGATGGTTTCGGGGTGCGCGCTGGGTGTCGGCTGGTTTCGGGGTGCACGCTGGGTGTCGGATGGTTTCGGGGTGCGCGTTGTATGTCGGATGGTTTCGGGGTGCGCGCTGAGTGTCCGATGGTTTCGGGGTGCGCGCTGGGTGTCGGATGGTTTCGGGGTGCGTGCTGAGTGTCGGCTGGTTTCGGGGTGCGCGCTGTCGGCTGCCTTTCTCTCCCAGGCGGAGGGCAGATGTCTGGTTCATCTTTTAATAAGACAGAGACTGTAAGTGGAGAGCAGTCGTAGATGTGATGTGAAAACCTAGATTCCAGGCCCGCACCGCATGGACACGACTGACGTCCTTCGTGCATCAGTTGTAAATGAATTTTCCTCAACTCCTCTGCTTGTGATGGCAGCTACCAGCCGAGGACCGTTTACCGTGACGCGGTTCCCGCCCGAGTGTGTACACCGGCCACACCGAGGGCCTGCGAGCTGTCATCGGTCCTCGGTCAGGTCCGGTCAGGGACCCTGGACTGTGTGACAACCGAAGCAAGTGCTCAGGCCTCGGGTCTGTGGGGGAAGGAGGGGCGGCCCCCGTCCTCCCGCTGCTGGGACGCCCGGGCTCTCGGCGTAGCCTCAGGGTGCGTGTTGAGACACTCCAGGAGTGTTTCAGGAGTTAAGTCAGTACCTTACCGTTAGCGTAAAAATGGAATTGTGAAACGGAATGTTAAACTTTAGAACTTTTTTTTTTATACGTCTTTATTGATTTCAGAGAGAGAGGAAGGGAGAGGGAGAGAGAGAGAGAAACATCAGTGATGAGAGAGTCACTGCACGGCCCCTGCTGGGATCCAGCCCGCAGCCCGGGCCTGCGCCCTGCCCGGGAATCGAACGGTGACCTCCTGGTTCATAGGGTGACACCCAACCACTGAGCCACACCGGCTGGCTTGAATGTTAAACTTTTTATAAACAGTAACCTCAGGGTGTGTGGGAGCAGCAGGGGGGAAGAAGAGGGGCCCGATTGAAAGCGGAGCCAAGTCCCCGCTGCTGGGAATACGTTCAGAAGTGACCACGTTACTTTTCTTCCCTTATCATGAAGGTATTACATGCCCTGGGCTGTGTTGCTTTTAAACATTTTTATTCACTTGTACCTGCTAATTTGTGTGCACTTTGTAGAATTTCCAAATGCTGAAAAGATGGTGCTTTACTCTGCACAATACCTGTGAATTTGGGGCAAAATCCTGTTCTTTCAGAACCAAGGGAAATGCTTTCGGTTTACCAGAAACCCCTGAACAGTCCTTGGATGCCGCCGAGAAAAGACGACTCACAGAGGCTCATCCCTCCTTCCTCCCTTCCCCTCCGAATTATTACATTTTGTGCTTAATGTGTTATGCAAAAATTGTGCAATTATTTATCCTGACACTGGAGTGAAACTTTTAGAATTCATTAGTCATTTCATGAGAAGACCGCAATGCTGCGTTTAGAAGCCAGTGGAAGCCAGCGAGACCCAGAGGCGGGAAAGCTGAGTTAGCGCTGGGCTCCCAGCGGGATGAAACCCAGCAGGAAGCCGCGGATATTTGGGTCTGTCCTCTGTGCTGTGAGGCTCTGTTTGGGGGGAGAACTGAGTTCAGACAGAAAGACAATGGTTAAAATCACTTCGTGAGCCGCAGACAGAGGGCAACATGCCCGATTATTTTATTGCCCTTTTATAAGGCAAGTGGGGTCTTGCACAGGGCAGTCCTCCGTCTGCAACACACCTGGTAACGACCTGCTTGAATGCAGCAGAATTTTAAGATTTTAACGTCTTGAGAATTGATAGTAGAAACTCCCCCCCCCAAAGCAGCTTTTTATTTTTTATTTATTTTTTGAATAGGAAAACACTGGGAGGAAGAACCCCCTTCTTTACATACTGTCCGAAAGCCAAGCAGTTCTTGCAACAGATGTTGGTCGTAGTCACTTTGGGGAGGTGTAGTTAGCATAGTTTTCCAGAATTTACTCAATCAGCTAGTTTTCTCTATAGAAAACATAACATAAAAATCTTAGACTTATGTCATGGGGCCCACGTGAATCAGGGAAAATCCTGGTCTAACTTAAATGATAAAGCTTTTAAAATGAGAGTCATCTGAAGGATGATTAGGTTGTTTTTTATTTGTTTTGATTGTAATTGTATCTAATTTGTTTTATAGCCCCCAAAGGAGAGCATACTTCGGTTCTGAAGTTATATGATAGATCAGGAGGATTTTATGAGAAGTTAAGTTAAAATAGTAGCCAATAAATGTAATCCTATTTCCCTCCGCCCCGCTGCCGACCATGAGGCTGTTTCCTCCTGGCTTTTCAGAGTCTGATTTTCGTTTCCTTGAGCAACTAGCACGTCTTACAAAGCGACACGTTTTGTCAACGTGAAAGAACTAGCCCATCCTTCCAGCGGTGTAATCTGGTTTGATATTTGTCCATACCCTTAACCCAGACGTATTTAACTTTTTCTGAAGTGCCGTGTTCACTATGTCCAGTGTTTTTCATTAAAGCGAATATTAAGAACTAGGGCAGCTGTGTGACACAGATGTTTGAAGTTGGGAGCACGGGGCCGGGTGGCACGCTTGGTTCCCTGGCTCATTAACTGTAGCACAAGAAAGCCGGCCTCTGGCGGAAGGTCCGCGTTGAAGTTCAGATCTGCGGTCACACACGTCTCAGTTTTCATGCAGTTATAGCTCCGTTTACTGTGTGATGTACATAGAATGTGTGTCCTGTTCCAAATGAACAGAATGTAAATGTGAGAGGAGAATTTGCAAGTATTTCTGTCAAGATATAAAAATTACTTTTTTAGACTATGTTTTGTTTTGATTATAGATATTCGTATCTTTGAACAATACTTTCAATATTCAGTGTATCATGAATCGTTTATTTGGTTCTCACCTTTTAGTCCATAGGTGTCTTCTGGAGAGAGTGCTTTATGTTACTTGTTTATTACACGTCATTATGATTACTTCTTGATAAATATTTCTACATTGTGTACGTTTCCTGCTCCTACAAAGGGTCAGAGAGCATTTTGAGGGATTAGAAATGCTGGACAGTGTTTGTCTGTGAACAATAAGCTTCTGGTTTAAACTTTTATTTTATATTCTGCTCAACAGTTCTTTTGGTAGCTATGTGAGGCAGCAAATATCTGATTTTACATGACAAATTTTTTATGAGAAAATACAAAGCAGTGTTTAAATCACATAAAATACATAGCTTAATTTAACATTACTTTCTGCATATGGAGTGAAACGTGTGTGTTTGCAAAATAACCATTACAGAGTATCATATACTTTAAACCTTCGAAGTCTTCCAAGTCTCCTGACCTACCTCTGGCAGCGGCTGAGAATTCTGATTTGGCTTCACGGAGAGCATCGCGCATACCTATTGTGTGAGCAGCTTGCAGACTCCCTTCTGGGACGCACACTTGCTCTAAAACGATATGAGACGCACGTTACTTT